GTTCAATATTTCGAAACCAATATGTTCAAAAGGAACAATGGTTATTAATCAATTGTATCAAAATCTTGCAATGATTTAATTCAATATTGCAAAACCAACATGTTCAAAATGAGCAATGGTTATTAAACAACCTTATCAAATCTTATAACGATCAGGTTCAATATTTCCAATACAAAATTTTCGCTTTGGAAAAAGAAAAGAAAAAAGCAATAAGTAATAAATAATGAAGAAAAGTGTATAAATAGTCGATTTAATGGCTTACATTTATGTTATATTCTATGAATATTGAATTTTAAACGATTCTTTGTCGATTTTAGTTACTTTTTAACAATTTTTCCAATTTTTGGCAAATTTTAGTCACTTTTTAACAATTTTTCTTATCGGATTTTTTGCTCTTGTTTTACATTTGATTAACATACGAACTGATTTTTCATAACCTCAAAAGAAATTTAAATTATGTAAATTTTCGCACGCACAGAGTCGTATTTAAGGATTTGCATTATATAATTTTTCGCACGCACAGAGTCGTATTTAAGGATTTCAATTTTGCTTTTGCATGATGTAACAGGCACTGTAGTGGGGGAAACAAAGAAAGAAAAAGCAAACTTTGAAAAAGCGACAAGCGGCGTGAAGTAAAAAAAACAAACTTGGGGAACTCTGGGAAAAAAGGAAAAAAAAAGAAAAGTTCTGGATAATGGCGGCGAGTCGGCCCCTTTTTTTGCTTTCTGTGGTTTTTAGAAAAATTTTAAAAAGAAACTTTAACAGTGTTTTTAAGAAATTATAATAATATTTAAAGGGAAAAATTTCACTTCCATGTAATCCATATGTCGATGGAAATATTTCAATTAATTTCATGAATTCTTGCCTAAAATGACATGTGCAGAAAAACTTGTGACTTTGGTGTAAAACAACAACAAAACTACAAGTCATTTTGGTTTCTATATTATCGTTTGGCTCTACATGATTCGGTTTGAGAAGAAAAAAGAAAAAAAAGATGGCGCTCCGCAGATTTTTTGGCGTGTAAATTTTATTTGGGAGAAATTAAAAATCCTTGTTTTGCTGTGCCATCGCGAGTGTTAACGAAAAGATAGCTATTGTTTTTGATGAACAAGGAAACGATAAAAGAGTTCTCTGAATATTAATCATTCTTTTTGTGCGATAATTTTAGAACTTATAAGTTGTTAATATACCTTTCAGCTATGGCGATGCGCATCGACGTGGTTGGTAGTTTTGGTAAGTTATTTTATAATATTGATTATTAACCCTTTTTTTCAGATCCATTCAAATTGCATTCCACTCATACAATTACGATAGTTTTGAAATATATATACCCTAAATAGTTCTATATACGTTGACATAAGCCATAGAAAGGAAAAATATATCTAAAACCGACCAGCCATAAAGGCGGATTTAAATACAAACGTCCATACACATATCTGAAAATAAAATTTTAAATTTTTTACTGCGGTAAGTTTTTATAACAATTAAATTCAGAACGAAAGTAAATAAATAATACATAAAAATGCGCAAACACTTACTTCCATTAACAACATGCTGCTTACAAGAAAGTCACTTATGCGATGCATTTGCACACGAGCAATTAGATTCTAATTTATCCAACAGGCTATTAGATAGATGGTGCAACTACCAAATTTATAATTAAAATTACGTAAATACTTTTTGAATACCTCAAGTAAATGCTTTTCGTAACGGCATGAAAGTAATTCAACAAATATTATTGAAAAATAATTTCTAACATATTAATTATAATTAATTACTATTATTACTATCTAAGAAAATAAATTATTTCAAATTAGTAATTTATAAAAATTATCTTTTAATATTACAATGATAATGAATTTAACAATGGGAAGTCATCAGTGCTCCTATTAATCAATTTCAATTTGATTTGTGGCTCGTAAGGAATATGAAATTTGCTTATGTTTAAAGGCGGTTTGTTCAGTCGTTATGAATAGAATAGAAACAATAATTTCAATTTTATTAAACAGAGATATGCATTCGGGAGTGAGAGAAAGTTCTTGTCCAACTCAAAGAACTTATAATTTTATGTTACGTAAATAAAGCGAATAGACTATTCAGGTTATAACGACTCACTTATGCCTGCATCAATTAGCCGACACATGTTCATCTCAACTAGCATAACACTGATGTCATGCCATTCTAGCGAGGGATATATGACACCGTTCGATATATGACCGGGTTTATTGCCCCATTTGAGCATTTTCAAACTGAGTAAATTGCCACATCAGATGTGAGTTTTGTAGACTGGGAGACGATAAACAGTCAAATTATGAGGTGGAATAGAGTCGCAGTCTGTAGTGTTGTTCTTTGAGTGCGATGAACTACACAATGGGAGGTAACGTTGTTTCTTGTTTCTTTTCCCAAACTGCAATGTTTCAGTTTTTCAGATAATTCAGTTTTTTTTCTGAATATAATTCACATTTTGTCGCAGCTTGCTGTTTCTGTTTACGTCAACTTTCTTCTGTTTCTTCTTCTCGTAGTTCTTTAACCAATTTTCTTATAGAATCTTGAAATTCACAAGCCCCTTTTTGTATCAAATTACTTTTTCACTTATTTAGAAATTATTCGTTTGTTTTGCTTTCGCCAGATTGGGATTTATCGAGTAATATTTTATAAAATTTCCTAAAGACTTTCCATTTCTACGCGGGAATTTTTGAAGAAATTTTTGTTTGAACCCAGAGGTGTTTTTCTTCACAAAAAAAAAATAATGAAGTCCGTTTATTTTGACAACAATTGAAAAAACCAATACTCAATACAGACTTTAGGATTTTTCGCTGTTCTTTATGGCTTTGACTAGTTCTGGAAAAAATCACAAAATCTTTGCAGTTCTTGAGGTCTGCTGCGCATGTCCACGCAATCGTACAGGAATTTGTAGTACCCGCAGACCCTCTCTCAACAGTTTAAAACGTATCCGTAACGTTTTTCGCAAATTTTTCAATTCTTTTTTTTAATTTTATTATTAATTGATATGAATTAATTTGAAAATCTTTTTGCTAGTAGCAATTTTTTTTCTTTTCTTCTTTTCAGGATATATAAATTTTATATAAATTATTATTATATTATTATATTATTTATATTATTTATAGTAAAATGGTATTCATCTCAGACGTATTGTTTAGCGAAGCGTTAAAAAAACATCCGGAGTTGTGGGATCTGAATAATAAATATTTGTGCTGGAAAAGTATGGGAAGGGGTTAGATGACGAATTGACCGAAAAAACAAACACGACAATTACTATAGAAGATGTCTGTTTAAAATGGAGGAGACTTAGAATGAGCCTCACTCGATTGAACAAATCGAAGCCAACGTGCTACACGGGTTTGTGCGCGTATGTGTGGTACGCGCACAATTTAAGGTTGCAGAATGCTGTTAATAGAATGTCCACACAAATCTCAAGTTACGAGGAAAGACTCGTTAACACAGAGGCCGAACTCTTTTCCGATATAGAGAACAAATAGACTGAGGAACGGTTGGACGTACAGACTGAGGAACGGTTGGACGTACAGACTGAGGAACAGACTGAGGAACGGACGGACGTACAGACTGAGGTACAGACTGAGGAACGGACGGACGTACAGACTGAGGAACAGGCTGAGGAACGGACGGAGGTACAGACTGAGGAACAAAGAGATGGACAACCATTTTCAAAAAAAAGTTATAATACAGGAAACAGAACGTGGGTATACGAGGAGGGGTCGTCAAAATCGGCGGCGGCAGCACGAAGAAGGAAGGATCGACGCCTTGAACCCGTCGTAAACCCAAAAGGCCAGGAACCAGAAAAAGCCGAGAGAATGGCGCCAGACGTTGAGGCACTGCGAGAGGTCGTGAGGAAATTGACTCCTCGCGACAAAATCGCACAACTGCACTTCGATAAAGTGGTCACCGACCTTACATCAACGTATTGTAGAACGGAATCCCAAACTATTAATAAAAAACATAGGATTCGCAGAGGAGATCGGGCTCGATGTAAAAGCGGTGGCCTGCGACAGGAGCGCTCAAATTTGCAAAACAATAAATAATTCCCCAAACAGCATATTTTTGAGGCAACGGGCGGATGGCAGCAATTATTTAATCGCACAGATGTACGACTATTTACGTCTTCTAAATGCAGTATTTAGGAAAACTGAGGACTTAAACAAAAGATACGACACCAAGATTGTAACGAAAGTGGTTCCGAAAAACTCGGCCATCTGGGGGCATTGGAAGAGGAGAGGTGCCAACTTACTAACTACCTCAGCCAGAAATATGACAGAAACGGCCCAATTATTCACACCAGCAATGCCAGAAAAGTTGGAAATGGGAATTATGCGAGGAATCATCGGTAGTGAGGTAGAAGTTCGGACGTACGAACTCTATGCCGCCATCACAAAGTTCAACACAGTTTTTCACAGCGGCAAAATCAACAACAGCAATTGGCAGGCGCAAAAAGCGGTGCTAGACGAAGTCAGGGAATATCTCAACACCGCCCTTAAGGCGGACCAGCCAGCGGGCAACATCGTGCAAATAATCAACAGATATATTGCATTAATCGATGGGCTGCTGGAGGAGTACCCAGGACAAGCCAGGACATACAGGAATGTTTCTTTTGCAATATGGCGCCAGAGGCCAAAAAAAGGACCAGACTGAAGTTTGTCAAACGCCTAATTAAATTGCAAATAGAATTTTGGGGAAGCGGACGATCCACCGCTGACGATTACCATGTTGTAAAATTGATGGACTACAGCACGGAAGATCAGACCGATGAAGATTTTTTCCCATTAGATGGCCTAGATGGTGTGATATTCAACGATGCAGTCACTGGCCAACTAACTAGCAAGGAGGAGGACTACATCTGGCTACTCACGGGCTATGCACTAGGCCAGTACATACGCGAGCAGCTGCGTTGCCAAGAATGTTTAGAAGACCTCACAAAAAGAATAGAAGATGCAAATAACCCAAGAGACTGGGCCAGCGAAACCCACGAATATCTGGAGCTCGAGTTTGCAAAGCCCGAAGTATGTGATGCATTTCGTAACGCCTGCGACATATACAAGTTCATAATGCTGAACCATATGGTAGAAGAAAACATCGGCAAGCGTCTGCAGGCAACAATACTAGCACGGGTTGCCTTCTTCAGGGAAGCAGGCTCCTGCCCCAACGGAAGAAGCCACAGAAGAAATCTGCTAGGCTTCATGACCAATTTGCAGTTGACGGGGGAAAACTGGGTGCAGGCAACTATAAAAAATGTGTCTTCTTGCAGCTCTCTGGTCGCCGCCCCCCGCCTCATAAAAGTGCAGCTCTGTGGTCGCTGCCTCGCCGCCTCATAAGCACGAAAGTTCATTGTATGCCAAAAGTAAGTTTTCATTTATCCTTACTTATTCTTATTTATTATTTATTTAATTACTTCTATTTCATTTTAGATAGATAGATCAATTCACCGACTTGTGCAATTCAATTGAAAAGCTTCAAGTCTCCCCAAAATTTACTAATTTTGTTCAAAGTCTATGATTCCTCTTTGGCAGACGACAAGGAAATTAATTACTGACCGTACAAAAGTTTATCTTACTGCCTGGCAGTCGGTACAGAACCAATATTGTTGCTTAACATATACCCATTGTCTTGGCTTTTAAATTTAAATCGTAAGCCAAAGGGATCATGCAACTTCCAGCATATGTTATTCTTTACCGGTAATTAAAAGCGAAGCATAACAGAACGGATTACCCACAAGTTGCAAATGCTGGAGAAGCCGTTATTCTCTATTTACCTAATAACAGTGTTACCCTTAATGGACTAAAGGCGCCGGTGATGAATCTAAAGCAGTCGATATGCAAAATACTAGGACATCATATGTACAGGTTGGTCTTTCGTGAACTGACATTCAAAGCTCTTCTTTTAACATTGTTCTTTGGAATGGCCAGATGAAGGTCTCGGATTTGGAAGAAGGAATGTACACTTTCGTTTTAAAAGTCACCGACGGTAGTGGACAATCGAGCAAAACCGCTTACCAACTCTGCTCCCACAGCAATTGCAGGAACTAATATGGCAACTTTTCAATAAATCTTTTAAATAAGCAAACGATTAATATCAAATCCCTCAGATTATAAATCTGCCGATTAAGTGGGTTGTTCTAAATGGCTCATCTTCAGCCGATGATATCGGTCTTAAATGCTATGAATGGAAAGAAGTTCAAGGACCTAATGCTGCGGTTATATTGAAGTCTAACGAAACGGTACATTTTCCACATACAGAAAGAAAAATGCTGTGAAAAATCGTTGTGTACGTAGATCGCCAATGCTACAGGTCTAAGTTTAGGCTTGTATGAATTTGCGCTTACTGCAGCTGATACCAGTAACAATACCGCCTCCGATTGCTTATGGTTTCAAGAAAAAAATTCGCCACCTGCGGCAAATGCCGGTGCTGATCAAAGCGTCACTTTATCATTACTAGCAATTAATAGCAACAAGGGCTCCATTATGATTGTAGGTATTTAGTTTATGAAATGAAGATCCCTCTAATAATCCCAGCTTTCGTTAAGCTAACAAATCTAGTTTCTGGTCGTTATGTCTTCAAACTGACAGTTAGTGACGAACAAGGCTTAACAAGCACGGAAACGGTTAGCGTTTTTGTGCATCTCGATCCAATGTTATTGAATATGGAGCAATTAACCCTGCCCATGAATATATCTATGTTAACTTATTCCGCTTTGAATACAATCGCGCAAAAAATTGGTTTACTAATGGGTGATATGAAAGCTGTAGTACGCAAATTGCAATGTGATTCTCGAACAGAGGCGGCCATCTTGGTCTTCTTTGTTCAGGTGAGACAAAGGCATAACGAAACTATTTTAAAGGTACTGTCAGCGTTCTTTTTACTTTGATCTTAGAGTGAGAAAGACGGTAAAATTATACCGATGCCAGGTTTAATAATAGAGGAGACATTGCAGCGTGATGCCTCCATTTTGGACACTGTCTTCGCAGACGTACGGACTGTAATCTGTCAGAATAAGTGCTCTGACCACGTCATATGTAATGCTGACACACGAGCTTGTATATGTTTTTTGGGGCCTGGAAGAAACTAATTGCGGTATGCGATGAACTTTTATTGAAAACTATCAAAATTAATAAATTCGTTGTATATGTGTTACAGATTGGTCGGTGTTGTACGTGTTGTAGCAGCATTTGTCGCTTTATTGCTGTTATTTAGTTTGTTTTGGGGCATAGCTGTGCAAGCAAACAAAAAAAACCGCGCTCTAGACCGAAACTTCAAAAATATTCGCTAATTGGAACACAAGACACGGAAGCGCTAATTGTAAGTTGTCATGTCATCGTTCTACGAATGTAAAAATGAACAATTGTTTCTGTAGTTTGCCGCACAAACTCTTTAAGTGATTCCGACATTGATTCTGATGTTCTCTTCGAGTCCCGTTCAAAGTCAAATGGCATTCTTCGTATAAATTGCAACTTTCAAATTCGATTTTCAGCACAAACATCCATATTTATGTGCAATGGTTAACAACTCAAAGGAGCTACGATCACACCGTGATGGAACAAATACCCAATTGCGCCAAGTAAAAAGAAAATCAAAAGTGAACGAACAATTGCCAAAGAAGATATTCAGCTCCTCCTCTAAAAAAAGCAAATTGCAATTTCTGCTTTACTTTTCGAATCGAATTCCTCCTGTTCTGTCTGAGCCTCACCCTTATCAGTCTGCACATCGACGATTTACATCGACTTCGGTATAACAGAACATGCATATTTCAATAAATTGATGACTTTTTATTAGTCTCGGCGGGAATGTTTTTCGGCGAAGTAGTCCTTAGCGGCACAAGCAACCTAAGGTGCAGAAGCGAGCTTCCAAAAACTCTATAAAGTATATCAATTCTTGACCAGTTTCAAATTCGGAATGCATCTAAACATGTCCATTTGTGTATCGGCACAGCTGTATTTGTGCTAAGCACAGCTGTATTTCTCCCGCCTCCAAAAGAATTCGAAAATTATCTAAACTTTTCAAAGGACACGTCACTTTTATTTTGAAAATAGAAAAAACCAGCCGCGCCCATGAAATTTTAATTCTTTTACTTTTTTTTGTCTATTTTTTAGGATAACGGTTATAAGTTTAAAAGATTCGGTCACCACCGAATATAATACTTCGTATTTGTCACTACTCATAAGGCCTCGTCAGTAGTTCATTTCCCATCCCGAAAAACTTAACTACACTTCTCTCTGTTTTTACGTGTTATCAGCTATACGCTTATCTTTATCTTCTTTTAGATTTTTTCTTAAATTAATTTTCATTTAAAGTTTTTATTACTTTTCAAATAATTGTAAGGCTTAATTATATAACGGAGTATACATAAATTTATAAAACTAAAAATAAACCGACACGCGCTTTATACGAGCATAACTTTAAAACTTTATATGCTAGCCATTTAGGAAATATATATATATACCTTAGGTAACATTTGTCAGTGAACGAACGCGTGATTGTGTAAATGTAGCGTAACAGTTTTGTCATTGGCCCCTTTTTCTCACCATTATGTGCTATAATGGTTAACCGATAGTGTATATGGAAGTGTTAACGAATGTGTATACGGGCGTAAGTATGTGTGTTTTATTCAATAAATTTTATACTTGGCAAAATATTGAATGACGTAAAATCCTGTTGCTTCGATGCAAGTAAGTTTTAATAATCATTTCAAATACAAAAAAAAAAAAAGAGGAAAGCACTTGGACGAATGGTGCATAAGCGTCGGGCATGTAATTTAAATATTCGTAAAAACGTAACACTTGCATGGTCAATATATTTTGAAAGGCCAACATAAACACACCCACGATATTAGTTATAGCAAACACGGTAAACGGTATACCCATTTTAATCACGAACCAAGCAATTTCTAAAATATTTTCAGCTATTGCTGCTAACATGTAGAAATTCCACAATATGCATGGGAAGAGATATTTGCGACGATCCCGATTCGGTTGGATAAATGTTAATACCGCCAGCATATTCACTGCGACGGTTATCATACGAAAACCGAAACCAAATTTTGGTAAAACAAACGGATCCGTTAAATTTGAATCGAGATTATGCCCCTTTTCAGAATCTGCAGTGAGATGGAATCGTTAGAAAACGCTTACTTTCGCTTTTATTTATTTAATCAGATAAACCCGTCCTGAATCTTGATTCGCTATTATTAAAACTATAAGAAAGTTATAAACCAAAAGTTTCACAATACACGTTCGAAATTCAAATATTAGACTGGAACTCTGAAAGTAAACAAACACTCTCTAAATATATGTGCATGTACGTATTTCATTTAAATCATTCAACTTACTTTAAAAATATTTTTGCATTTGTCCAAAGTATTTTCCAAGTCATCATCAGATCGATTTGGTTAAAGTAATTGACAAACATAGTATTGGAGTAAGAAATTTTTAAACAAACATGTATAGATGATATTTTTTTCGAGTTCGACACTCGACAGTTGTGGAAATTTGATAAAAAACAATTTATAGTTAATATAAGTTGGATTACAATGAATGTTCGTTCGCTCAGCCAGTTGAGATTTTAATCTCAATCTGAATGTTGAACAAACTCTGTCTCTCTCTCTCTCTCTAACAGTTTTTATTTAAATGATAGTCGTTTGCCCTCTCCGAGTAAGACGGAAACATATTTGGTATAAATATGTAAATATGTACATGTATGTATATTGATATGTGTATAGGGATACGGAGGCGAATCCGTACACCATGTGAACGAAAACATAAGTTTAAACTGTTGCGTTAGCATTAAAGAAAAGCACAACACAATTACACACCATAACATATATATATTTCATACTATATGAGCATATATATGCATGTTTATAGGCAAGCAAGGTTGTGTGCCATAACCAATATGCTTGCTTTACGTGGCCCATGAACGATATGGCCGGTGGCCATGCAAAAGTGAACTGACTAAATGTGGAAAAACACATGAAAGTTGAGTCGAGACTTAAGTCGAATTTTTCTTCTTCACTATTTACTCGTAATGTTAATCGTATATTAGCTCATAATTTAATGGTAAAGGATAGAAACTTACATGCATTGCAAATTAATTATTCAAATAGAAATATAAAGTTATTAAGAATACGATAATTAAACTTAACTACACAAACAAGACGAAGAAATATTCAATGAAAGCTAAGGAAACCTCAGCACAGCTATTTACCAATGTAAGAAAACGTATCTCTTCGTTTACGGTAGCAAATTAGCAACTGTGTAACTCAGGGCAAATTTTTCTTTCAGAGATAAAGCAAAACTCAAGATATGTAGTAGAAAATAAATGCAATAGAAAGATTTTTGCAACCCCGTAATATATTAAATCTGCCTGCAAATAATAGCGAAGGAAAATACATCAAATGCAAATCCTCTTTTATTACCATATTTTCTCTTAATATAACAAGCAAGCAATAAATGAATTCTTTCGGCACTTTACTAACAGGCATATCGTTTTACGAGCAAAATAGCAAGTTCCACTCAATTAAAAAAATTTTGATTTATAGATGCTACCGTGAGCGAAATTACGTTCATAGGCATATTTATTTATAATCATGGCATCCTCCATATCATAGCCGGTGTAAGAAATAACCGCCAAAATTGCATTAGTGCCCATGGCAAAATCGTCTAAGCCCACATTGTCGTAATGCACAGGGCGAAATAAAGGTGCAGCTGGAGTCTGCAGACGATACATTTTGGTGCCAGCTTGCTTAGGCCAATTCAGGCACGGTGTACCCATCGTCTGCTTAGTCATTTGACACTGATACATGTTACTATATTAAATATACAGAATGTAAAGCATTTATAAAAACAAGCGAATATAGGAAAATTACCGTGGCGATTGGTCTGGTAAAGGTGTAAAACATCCGCAGGGTCAAACATATTTTTTATAAAAAAAAAAATCACCCCCAAGTGAGCGATAGACCGTTGGCAACAACAGTGGTAACATCCATGACATCAAGAGTGCGTACAAGCTTTGGCTGCAGTGTCGTTTGCGTATGAGTCCCAATGCCCAATATAATTAAATAATTAATTATTGTAGATGATATGAGTAAGGATCTGTTTTATTTTTCAATACACATACGCCATTGTTGATTAATATCAATGTGTGTTTGGCGACCACATCGCGAATCCATATATATTAATATTGCCAAATATGTCTCAATGAGATTTTTACAAAACTCTAAATTGTAAGTGTTATTGTATCTCACAAATTGGTCCAAGTTAGACGTATGTGACACAATAGGCTGTAGAATTATTATTATTATGTCAATCAATAAATGTGATGTGCCTTCGAAGCGACAAGTAATGTACACACATGCCGTATATATATGTGTACTTTTACGGTCACGAGTTAAAAGACGTATTAATGCCATACGAAAGAAATTCAATGCCGTATCAATGTAATGCTGGGTTAGCAACAGATTTGAGATTTATCGGTAAGAAAGCTAGAATTGGTTTATAAAAGGTACTTATTTTGTTTTCACACAATTTACACAAATAAAATGCGCAAATATTTAAAAAAGATAATTTTTTACATATTTGTGCCGGGAGCAGTAAGAATTCAAAGAGTAAAGAAAATTTTCTACAGGTACTCACACTGCGCACGTCGACGAAAATAAAAAACAAAACACTTTTTCCGCGTACTATCTCCAGAAACTTACAGTATTTTTAGCCAGTTAAGTAAAAAATTTGCGCCACCACCTTGGATGATGACTGTGAATATAACAATTAAAGAAGTGGCGGTTAGCAAGGTTTAGCGGGCCTCTGATAAAGTGTTTCTTATATCCAAAGCAAACGACATTGCTCCTCGTAGCCCAAGTGGATGAATTGATCTATCTAAAATGAAATAGAAGTAATTAAATAAATTATAAATAAGAATAAGTAAGGGTAACTGCAAACTTACTTTTGGCATACAAGCAAATTTCGTGTTTATGAGGCGGCGAGGCAGCGACCAGAAAGCTGAACTTTTAAAATGAAGAAATATTTTTCACGGTTTTTTGCACCCAGTTTACCCCGTCAGCTGCAAATTGATCATGAAGCCTAGCAGATTTCTCAAATAACTACATATTTCCTGCTTAAAAATTCTACATCAATTCAAAAATATATATGATATAAAAATTGCGTGCATGCGAGAGTAAACGTATAAAAATTTGGCGTAAATTTTCTACTGAAATTCATCGCACACTTTTATTTTGTATTTAAGATATAATGCATTGATGGTTTCTATTATGATTTATTTTCTCCATCCGAGCGTGATGAGTTCCGGTCTACCTGCTCTATCTTGAAAAACGTTCTACGCAGGTCGAATCAGGAATTCCCACGCAGGTGATCCTTTTTAATATACTGAACAAAATAAAGTAGGGAATAAGAGATCTCGCTTATTTGCACGTAGAATTTGGGTCCGATTTTGGTAGTATGAGAAATTTGGATTCGTTTTTGTGAAAGTAAGAAAAATTTGCGTTCGATAAAACGTATATTTTTGATACATTTATATAAAAAAGATTATATATTACATTTCA